AACCACACCAGCCTGTGTGATCAGGAGATGTTGATGGGAATAGATATCAGAAGTTTAAAAAGCAAGCAATCAAATGGATGTCAAGGACTAAATGGACTAAGTGGAGACCCAAAACCCACCTGCAAGACAATTGGACAGGCCTCACAGAGGGGCCACATGGGAGGGATGAGGAATTCCGGCTGTGGTATAGCACTGATGAAACCCATAACTATCCTCTGGTTATTTAATATTTCCTCCCCTTAGTATTAAGGCTTATGTTTCACCTCATCAATATGTTAGACCTACATAAGATCGTTCAATGCAGGAATGCCAGGATGAATGACCCTACAGAAACAGCAATGGGAGCAATGATTCCCTGAGGATATGGAAAGACAGGGGGGATCTTATAGCAATGATGACTGTATAACTCCACTCGAGGGGAGAGAATAACAGAATTGTAGGTGGAAATTATGGAATGTTTTGACATTTGTAAGAGCTCCCAATAAATTATGGATTAAAAAATAGAAATAAAGGTTTTTAAAATAACTAAAATACGTAAAGAAATAAATAGCATGCAATTTGTTAAGAGAGGGTTGTCATGAAGACACTGGGTGTTCACGGCCCCTTAATTATATGTGGGTCCCAGTGAGCAACAACAGATTTTTACAAAGCAAAGCTACAAGAAAAGTATTAGAGAGCTTTGGAGGGATAGAACAGACTGTTCCCCCTCCACAATCCCTCACAGCTAAGTCTGTAGAAGACGATCCACAAACAAAGCCACATGGTGAAGATCCTGCAATTTGATTGCCAGCATCTCAGCTGGCAGGTTCCTTCGGGGTACACACAAGATGCTCCCACCTCACCTCTCCCAGCCTCACCAAAATAGCATGTAAGATCGTCTTCATTTGATCTAAGAATAAGATAAATGTTTTACATCTAAAGCAATTTAACAAAATATGCCCACGGTAGGGGCTTTTTCCTGCCTTGGCGAGCTGCAGATGGCTGTGCGGGACTCTCAGGGTCCTTCCTTCATTCTGATTGTGTGTCTGAGGGCGTCGACTAAGGGAGAACCTCTGTAACCCATTGTATTTTCCAACTTTCTTCTACCAACTTTTGTCAACTAATTTTCTCCCTTAAAAGCAGGGAAGCTCTAGAGAACAAGAAGAAAAGGTTTGCCAAGGAACACAATCTGAACTTTGAGCTCCCTAAACTGATGGTTCAATCAGTGCTTTATTGAGTGAGCGATGGTGTCACCTGAAATACAGAATTAAATTCTGGTCCCTAACAGTTAGGCAAATAAAAGGAGAGCCTCCATGTTCTCAGGCCCTTCCAGGAGACATCTGCACCCTGTTAGCCTCTAAGCAATGTAAAAAGTTATAAAATTAAAAAAAAAAAAACTCCCAGAGAGACTTGGGTGGGACTCAAAGAAGCAAAGGTATAAATTAGACTAAGTACATTGGGGCTCCCTAACTATGGTAAGTTTCTGTAAAATAACTCATGCTAAAATGGATTGCTTTATAAAACATTGAACATCTTGCTGTTCAGAGTGTTGTCTGAAGACCAGCAGTAGCCACATCGCCTGGGAGCTGAGTGGAAGTGTAAAATCTTGGGTCCCACCCCAGCCCTGAAAAAGCAAACCCAACCCACTGCCAATGAGTAAGTTCTAACTCACAGGACTCTACAAGACAGAGTAGAACTGACCCCATAGTCTCCATGTCTATAAACCATTAGGGAAGCAAACTGCTGCATGTTTCTCTCTGGGAGCAGCTAGTTAACCGCTGACCGTTTTGTTGGCAGTCCAGTGCTGTAACCACTGTGCCACCACACTACATATTTAACCCAAACCCACCAAAAGGAAGTCCACTATTTAGTTAGACAGCCGGCTGTTTATAAGTCTACTGACGTTTGAGCAATAACCTAGCACCTTGTTAAACAGCATTGTATTTGATTTCCAAGAAATTGGGTCCCAGGAGGGAGAGGGAAGGGGCAAGCAGGCCAGTCAGTCTTCCTGCTTTGTCTCAGGTGATCTTCCCCATCTCTGTAACTAAGTGACTACAACTCACAGATGATGTTCTCTTGCTCAAGAAAGATCACACATTTGACCATGTTCACAGAGCCAGGATTTGAATTTGGGGTTGACCCCAGAAAAGAGTTGACAGTCTCCCATACCAGCTTTCCTGCCTGAAGAAATGGAAAACCATGAAGTTATTCTCCATTTGACGCAGCAGAGTTCAAAACCATCGCGTGACAACTCAAAGGTGATTTTGCCGAAACTGATTGAGACGCAGAGGCAATTAAGTGCTGTTATTGTTGACCATTGAAAGCATTTTGATGCTGTTTTCAAATAATTCAAGGCCTCTGGGCTCCAAGGACACGAGTTAGATTTATGATGGTGGTGGGGCTGTGCTTGCTCCTGTGGCAGCTACTGTAAGTGAGCCACTGAAGGATATGTCTTTAGCAGATGGGAAAACGTCCATCACACCAGCCGGAAAACAGAAAACTCAGGAGTTGCAATTTCCAATCTCTAGTAAAACATTTCTTCTTATCTGCCTTCGAATGTGACTGATTCTTAGCTGTGTAGCCACCCACTTTGAAGAAAAGTGTGTGCCTTATTAAGCTCATCAATTGTATACCTTTATGTTCTCCTAATTGACCATCTCCTTGGGTTTTTCTTTTGAATCCCAATGTGAAACCAGGCAGAGTTGGCGGATGTCAATGAAGCTAAAACACACATTCAAGTTCATGCGTTTCCTAGTATGGATGAACTCAGCTTTACCTGTGATGACTGCATTTTTCCAAGGGAGTCCTTAAGTTTGGGCTCTGGTCAATTATACACTTTGTTGCTCCTGCCAACTTCTTTTGCTTGCATATTGGTGTGTTTCAAGTTCTCTGTCAGGGTTTTTCAGACATAAAACCAATAGGATGCATCACTAACTTAACTAAGCATGATTCTGATTCATGGAAACTCCATGTACAGAGTAGGACTGTGCTCTATAGGGCTATCCTGGCTCTGAGGGTTGGAAAGCAGGCCTTTCTTTTGAAGCAACTCTGCAGTTAAACCAATAGTCCTTCCAGGGAGTTTCCAGTGGCTGAGTTGTTGGAAGTAGGTTGTCAGAATTTTCTTCCAGGTGCCTTTGAGGGTGGACTTGCATCTCTGAGCTTCTAGTTAGCAGCCCAGCACAGTAACCATTTCTACCACAGAGGGACTCCTTCGTTTCCAGTAGCTCCAAGTTCACAGTAACTCCTGCCCACAAGAAGGACCCAGAACAACAAAAATGTCCATCTCCTGAAAAAGGAAAAGGGGGAACTTATGGAAGGTAGAGAGAGGTCGCAGAAGGGAGTAGGTTAGCCATCCAAGTACCATCTGTCTGAATCCAACCTTGAAGAGGACTGTGGTTGTTCTGGTTCCAAGATGAGACCTGAAGAAACGAAAGCCCTTACTCTAGGTCACCCGGCAGCCACCCCGAGCACCTCAGCTCACATCTTCAGTGTGCACTCTCTGGAGGACCCTGAGATTCTTGGATGCCCAGAGAAGTTTCTGTAAGAGCCGCAGAAGTCATTGGTATTAATGACCCCAAACCAGTGAAAGGGCTTTCTTTCCTTTGACTTATTTTTGGCCTCTTTCAGGGTCAGTGTCAAGGATGGTGTTGGTGGTGTTGGCACTGACGATGTTATGCTCCAAATCTCGGATCCCGCAGACTTACTTTTCCTTGCCTACAGATTTTCCATTCATGAACTGAAGAGCTTGGGCTGGTTCTTCAGCACTCAAGGGATCAGCCTTTCTTGATCATTTCAGAGATCCTGTTAAAACTCTCCTTGCTTCTTACATGTCGTTTCCTTTCCAGGATGAATGAAGAACAGATAGCTACTGTCTGTCTGTCCGTGCTGAGAGCCCTCTCCTACCTTCACAACCAAGGAGTGATCCACAGGGACATCAAGAGTGATTCCATCCTCCTGACCAGTGATGGCCGGGTAAGACTAGCAGGTTGCACCCTTCCAATCACTTCATCCATTGTGGGCATAATCCTCCTAAGAACAATTTCTCATAATACTGTTTTCTTAGTCACAAGTCAGCCACTGACTTTCCGAGAGCCTTGGTAAAAGGAAATTATCATGCTCTGTGTCATCCTGTTAGTCAGAAATACCTGTGACCTGAATTTAATACATAATATTGTGCGTTAACAATGAGGTAGGAAGTAATGGAAACTTCTTTTCTTCTCTGCCACATTCCTATTTCTGTTGGGGGAGAAAGGAACTGGCTGTTTTAGGGCTGTGTCCACCTGATTATTGTGCTGCAGTATTTCTCAGTCTCTGGAGAAAACAGATGACAAATTCCGCATGGTAATTTGAGAAGAGTTTTATTCATGGGCAATTTATAAAGGTATAGACACATGTAGGAAAATCCTAAGGAATGATGCAAAGGATTCATGTAGTCCTTTACTCGTAGGGTCCTTACCTGAAGCGGTGAGGTTAGTACCCTGTTTCCCCGAAAAGAAGACAGTGTCATATAAATTTTTGCTCCCAAAGATGCACTAGGTCTTATTTTCAGGGGATGTCTTATTTTTCCATGAAGAAGAATATGGTACACATTTATTGTTGAACGAAAAAAAAGGAAATGTATTACCTGTATATGGTATGGTAGTAGTTGTCATCACAAACCAGCATAACCAGACAAACTGTGAATTCTACAGTATCAAGAATAGCAGTGTCCTTAAATGAGTACTTCTTGTCAAGGTAGCCTGCTCGTAGTGCATTTGCAATGCAACTGTCAGTGATATTCTCCCATGAATTCTTCACCCAAGTCACAACCTCTTGCAGTTTAGGTTTCACAAAGTTTCCACGCTGATTTCTCTCCACTCTATTTTCAGTGTAGTCATTAATTTCCATGTGCAAATAGTTCTTGAATGGCTTGTTTATTGCAATATCAAGAGTCTGGAGATAGGCCATCATTCCTGCGGGAATCATTATTTGATCTACTTTTCTTTCGTGAAGAAATGTCTTCATGTCTTTAGCGCGGTGAGTGCTGGCTGCATCCCAGACTAGCAGACCTCTTTGGCTCCCTCGCATAACAAGCAGCAGCATTAAATTGACCCACTTCCTTATAACTGCTTGTGTGGCCCAGGCTTTTTCAGTTTCAAGAATAAAAATGCCCAAAACACATTCAATCTTTTCCTTCTTGCCCTTAGAAATAGTCAGCATCATCAATAAAGGACTTGAATGCAAGTGCTCACTTAATAACTTGAACATCTTCCAGCCTAAACAATGTTGTGGATCTTCCTGAAGACAGTTCACTTCGCTGAAGGAAATTATCCAGCCAGTGTTGTGATGCTTTGGAGTCTTCGGGGGCTATGTCAAACTGTGGTGCCATTGCAAGGGCAAATTCTTGAATCTGAGCCCTGTTCACAACCAAAGCCTTTGCTCTCCTGTCAACAACCCATTCACAGATCAGAAAATAATGGTTGCCAACCTGATCCACATTTGCACTTTTGAGCATTTCCCTTGTCCACTTGTTCAATGAGGTTACCATATTCTGCTCACCATTTTCAGACCAATCGGATACTCAACATTTTCTCTTTGCAGAAAGCAGTTAGATTTTGGCTCCAAGAGTCTTCCATGATTCCTCTCTTGTACTCCATGGAGTAGCTTTTTCTTTTTGCACTCGTGTCTAGGGGTTAAAAAAAATGACACAGGAGAATCAGAGGGGGGATTACCATTTTATAACCCCTTCTAATTCTCCTGTGTCATTTTCAGTGATCACCCTCCCCCGACCCCTGTGCCAGTGGACACCTTCACCAGACATCCCCCCACCCCTTTATCAGACATTTCCCCCCTACCTCAGTCACCCCTGTGTGTCCACACAATGTACCCAACTCCTGCCCCATGCAACTCACTAATTGTGAGTCAGCCAGACTCCATCAGGGCAGAGGGAGCAGCAGGCGGACAGTTTGTCCTGGCAGCGGCGTGGGCTCTCTGATTAAAAGAGACCTCACACTTCCTGTCTGCTTTAGCTGGGCTGCGGCCAACAGTGAGCTGTGCGGCAGCGCCCACCACTATGGTCCAGAGTTACGGTAGCTTCGGGGGCCTTATTATCGGGGAGGTCTTATTTTCAGGGGATGCCTTATATTTCAGCGAGAGGCAAAACTGTAAGTAGGTCTTATTTTCAAGGGATGTCATACTTTTGGGGAAACATGGTGGTTACTACAGTCTAGAAATAGAAATGGCTGTCTGCACAGTGCTTTGATTGTGAGAGGAAGGCCACGGTGGACCTGCGCTTTTGCTCCTTTCCAACTTCCTTATGGGGCTCCCCAGTGGCAGGCACCAATTGAAAGCCATCAGTGCAATCCACACAGGTTGGCCCTCCAGGGAATTGAAAAGGGAAAAGTGTGGATCTAGAAGGAAGAATGATATCCATACACTAGTATCTCCAGGCTCAACTCTACCGGATACTCAGAATACTACCACAGCTCCGCAGTTAATCAGGGAACAGAACACATGCGTTACAAAAGCCAAAGGCATCATGCTTTGGTATTCTAAAGGAGGCTTAGTTGGATGGAGGACTTGATGAACTTAGATTTTCACCACTGTGGCCCTTGAGACCTCCCCCAGCTCCAAGCACATGCACCGGCCCTGGACTGCAGGAAGCCAGCCATCCCTTCTGACATCACCCTCTTTTAAGGCCCAGCAACTGCAGCTACACAGACATGTTCATTCATGTCCTACCAGCAACTATCTGGGGATGAGCAGAGACCAGTTGAAAATACCTATGTAGTTTGCTTTTTCTTTTTTGTTTTAAAAAGACTGAAAATATTACAGTGAACCCTCGTTTATCGCGGTTAATCGGTTCTAGACCCTACCGTGATAAATGAAATTCCGCGAAGTAGGATTCCTTATTTGTAAATCAAATATTTTCGTAGTTAGAGCATAGAGGACATGAAAAAACATCCTTTAGTCACCATTACACTCGTATTACCCAATTTATTAAACGAAAAAGGGAAAATACAGTAAAACATTTTGGACGTTACAATTATCATTTATTAGCATCAAGCGTGTACAGTATGAGCCAATCAGTGGCAGTAATGACAGAGCATGCGCTGTTACGCAAAAACCACGATAGAGTGAAGCCTCAGCGCGAAGTGGCGAGGGTTCACTGTATTGCAGAACATTTTATAAGCTCAGAAAAGCATAAAGGATCTAATACAGGTCTCTGATCATCCCATTTCTTATTTTCCCATATGTCCATGCCTATGTAGATTTGATTTGAAATGTTGAGGATTAGGCTTAATAGATATCCATAAATGTCTGCATTTTGCCCTTAAGCTCACCGATTCTTTTAAACATGATGTAGTATCCATCCACTTTAGCCACAAAACCAACCACTTCAACCTTTACGGATTTAAAATGGCAACCATTTATTGCTCAAGTGTCCATGCGTTGTCAGATGGACTGACCTCAGCTGGAAGCACTCATGTGTGTTATCAGCTGGGCTCACCCGTGCATTTCTGGCCAGCCTGCAGCTGATGGCCTTCCTCATTTGTCTGCTGACTCGCTCACTCTCGGCGGGGGAACAGAAGGAGCCGGACCATGTGCCAGTCATCTCCCAGCAGCCTACCGATTTGCCATTGCGTTAATTCCCTCCCATGCCCACCCCCTGTGAGTCAGAGTCACACTGCTCCAGAACACTTTCCAGGACTTGTTTGTTTCAGAAAAGATCCAGGTCTCTCTTATAAGAGGTCTCTGGGTACATTCAGCCTGGCTCCAACCTTTGGGTTAACAGCTGAGCACATTAGTTGTTTGTACCACCCAGCAGTTCCTCAGCAGAGCACCCCTGGTTTGTTCACATGGTGGCTACGATAAGGTTCTCCAAAACAGCAGGAGAGACAGACCCCAGCGTGGGAGCAGTTTCCCGCCATCGGGTTCTATGCTGCTTCCGAAGCCTTGGCTGCTAACACTTTGAAACCCCCAGCCACTCCATAGGAGAAGGCTGAGGCTTTCTACTCACGTTAAGTGTTACGGTGTTGGAGACCCACACGGGGCACTTCTACCCTGTCCAATAGGGTTCCCTATGAGTCAGAATTGACTCAATGGCAGTGAGTTTGGTGTTTGGCTTAATGTCCCATGGCCAAGTCCATATACAAAGAATAGAGAAATAGACTTAACTCTTGATGGAAGAAACTGCAAAGTCACATTGCACAAGAAGGTGAAGACAGGGAAGGGAAGAATAGGTGGGCATTTCCTTATGTAATCTCCTGTAGATCAGGAGAGCTATAGAGAAAATGCAGCCATCCTTACCTGGCCTGACTCCGTCTGGAAGCACGTTGGCATATCTCCCACCTCAGAACACAATGTGCAAAGCATTAAACCGCCCCCACAAATGGACTCTCAGAACTAGCACGCACAGGGAAAGCAAAGAAGGACAATTTAGAATCAGGCTCTCATCCCTGTTCCTGGACATTGATAGCACAGACATCTGAGCACGTCAGATGTCAAAATCAAACTAGGTAATTCATTGTTTCATCAGCTGCCTGGAAGAGCTCCCCTCCCCACATTGTCCAAGAGACTATGAATCATTCCCTTGTCACTCTCCAGGGCAGGACAAATGTCTTGAACATCTCCTGCACGTCCACACACCCAGCAAAGAGCTCACAGGGGCAGGTGAGCTTTCTAGTGCTTTCTAGTCTTACTGGTTTGCTCATTCATTCAGTTGAAGGCCTCCTTCTTCTAGCTCCTAAGTATATGCAAAGCAACATCACTAGGTTCATCTGGGTTGCTTGAAAGACAATGGGGTGTAATAGTAGATAGACAAATGAAGTGATGAGAGTAAAGATCTCCTTCACCACACATTTGGTGAACAAAGATGGAGAGCAATGGGGGAAAGCCCTCTACCGGATAGAGATTGGATAGAGACCTTCTCTTTGGCAACATTTTAGAAACCTGTGAGGAAGTGGGTCAGCTGAGGCTCTAGGGAAAGAGTG